CTGAGTTGCCGCCATGTGATTGGCTGATTAGAAATTAAGTGTTAACGAGCAGTTGGACAGGTGTACCTAATAAAGTGGCCGGTGAGTGTATATCTACTACATATACAGTGCGTGATGGATCCAGTAGGGTGTCAATGTTTATAGGCTATTTATTGATTTATCCTGTCTCTGTATCCAGGGGGCATATATTTGGATTCCCCTCCAAACAAATACAAGCCATGAAAACAAGCTGAAGTGAAACATAAATTAAATGCTTTTTGCATTTTTAAATGTAAGGAGTAGAAAGTACAGATAATTGAATGAAAATGTAAGAAGTAGAAGAAAAAGTTGGCTAAAAAAATAGTAGTATAAATAACCAAAATTCCTACTTAAGTAAAGTAACGAAGTAAAGAGTAACTTGACACCTCTGCACTGCATGGCTGCCTTACAAAAATCTTTTATTTATCCTGTGAAACATTTAGCAGATGTTCCCTTTTAATAACGTTTGAATTGTGCATGGTTATTTTAGCAGAGGTCACGGTCTGAAGGCACACCTGCCTCAGTTAAAGCACCATGTTTGGTTGAGGCAGTGATGGACTCGCTCCACCTGGACGCAGCAGCAGCTGCGCGCTAAAACTGGACCTGGGAAGTATGCAGACGCCTCGGCGACGCGCGTCGTGACCTCACGAGGAGCTCCGAATCGCGCTCGATTTTTCCGCTTCGACTCGTCGTCAGAGCCTCGAAATTCGGTATCTATCTTCATCTTGGCGCACCTGCTCCCACCCCTCCTCCTCCTCATCCTCCTCCTCCTCCTCCCCTGTCCCTACACAGGAACAGCAGAAAGCAGGTAAGAGACGCTTCAGATTTGGACAATCTTCTTCCAAACCGGTTGTTTCGATCCGTTTTTTAGCCTGTATTGTCCGTGGTGTGGTTGTTAGGAGAGGGACTGTCAGATGGGAGATGTCCTGACATCCGTAGAGAGATGCTTGTGCAGGAATGACACACTGTTGCTACCCGCGCTGGTTGCCACAGAGACGCGCGCTCTGCCGCAGGTATGCAGCATGGTTGGAACCGAGCGAGTTTCCCGTTTTTACTTCTTTACGCGAACGTGGGCTGCACCCACCCCACCCCCCCGTACAGCTTGAAGAGAGAATGGAGCAGGCATTAAGCGGGGATGCAGAAATTTGGGCGACCCGTTTTTTGGTTTATAGTGCACCCCCCCTGCTGTCTGCAGAAAGCAGTATTTGTGTGCCAGTGCTCATATTTTCCTACAATGTTTCATCTATAGTACTTCAAAACTTCCGTTTTTAACCTGTGAATGTGTTTCTATATAACTCAACAATATAATAGATTCAAATATTGCCAATAAAATATACAAACGTGCTATTTTCAATTAATAACGGACATGTTTTAAAGTAGATCAGCTTTATTTTTCACAATAACATTGATTTGTTTGGATGATGAAACCATGTTTCTTCATATAAAGTCTGTCAGGATACAATTTTCATTCAATTCACAAGTCTGTGATTGATAAGATACACGTCCATTTAATTGTTAGATGAAGAGAGCGATGTTGATTCACATTAAAGGGCCAATATTATGTGTTTCATATAATAGCCTCGAAATTCGGTATCTATCGATATCAGTCGACGAATGGAGTAGTTTTTATCCAAACATTTATTTTCTTTTAGCTCCACACAGAATATAAAC